GTTGCGGAGGCTGGGCGGCAGTAAGCTGAAGACATGTTTTCTGCTCGTTCGTTGTCATTTACCGAAGAAGTTTGTTAAAACCCCGAAAGGGTGAGAATTGCGTTTGATAACACGTGGATATTTTTACGAAAGCTCAGCACCGCAAGAAAAAGGGGCAACTCGTCTAACGCAAGTCTTACCGTTCTGGCGGCATGATCACAGCTTCCTTGGCATGCCAAAGTGCTGCATCTTTGTCTTCGCACGCTTGAATACCGATCAAGAATTAACGCCGTGTGGATTTGTTTCGTGAGTGCAAAGAGCATGAAGATGCATGTGCCTCTGGAGCAGCATTTTACTTTACTCTTACGACTGTATTTGTAACTTGCGGCACTTGCAGTCCAGAAGCGGGCATGATCCAGTGGCGAAAAAGGAGGGGTAGGAGGCTATGGCGACGGCGACAGATTGCACACAACTATTAGGACGGGCCACGTTTGAAAAACTTCAGATATCGCCGCTTCATACTTTTGCCTTCGAAAACCTACCTTCTTCCACAGCATTGCTCTATTTGTGCTGTCATGTGATCCATTTGAGTAGATTTGGAACATAGCCACGGTTAATCCATAATAGCAACCACCAATTTCGTTTCCTATTGATAGCAACTCGTTGGAACAGCTGGGTGATAGAGAAGACGCCTATGTGTGACATACCTTCAAAGCTCTGCCATGGCATCGATTTTTGATTAGTATCCAAGCGTGAAAAGGCACAGAGACGCAGCAGTTTGGCAGGCCAAGGAAGCTTTGATCACGCCGCAAGACCGGCGAGACTCGACGTTCGACAAGTTGTGCCCTTTTCTTGCGGTGCCGCGCTGTTGCAAAAAAATTTATGCGTTTTCAAAGGAAATTCTTATTGTTTACACATTGAGAGCGTTTGGCGCTCCTTTCACTAAACAGAGGGGAGCGCCGCCGGAGACTGACACCTGAGCGTGCTCTTCGTGCTCCGAGCATTTCTTGGAGCACAAGTGACTTCTTTGCGCTCCGTGATGACATGTCCACAAACAAGATGGCTGTGCCATTGTTGAGATTGTTGAAACAAAAGACGTAGCTGGACAGCTGCTCCTTATCATTCCATTAGTGGTTAATTCAGCAGGTAAAAACAATTTGATTTGAGAGCCAAGACAGCAATTAGCATTCCAGAAAAGGTTTGTTCATGTGCCTTGCCTGAGAACAAAGTGATCTATCGAACGAGCGTGCTGATAGCTCGGCGACAGAAAAGTTGCCGAGAAGACAGTGGGACGGCTGCCCTTTTTAAACTGCTTAGTCCAGCTGCAGCGAATAAAGATACTTAGATTGGAAAGCCGAAGCATCAGTTAGCATCGCGGGAAAGGTTTGTTCGTGCATCTCGCCTGAAAACAGCTCGCACGGTCAAATATAGACAGCTTGCACGGTCAATAAATAGATCAGCCAAGGTGCCTTTCCCCGCACGTGCTCGAAGCGAGTCTCCAAACCTCTCAGGCAACGTTCGTAGAAACTTCATAACGTCGCCGTCTCTTTTACTTTGTACACTGCCGCTCTACACTGGCTTTAATTAATTTACCACCGAAATACTTTTGGCTTCTCCCACCCGTATACACGGGATGCCAGGTCCGTCATAACCGTGCGGTGGGAAGGAGCTTGTGCGGCTCGTCAATAGATTTGGTGTGTCGCGCTCCTGTACGCCATGCGCCGTTTAGTTGCTGTGCCTGGAGTATGAAACTCGGAGCGTCAGAGTAGGAGTAAAGGAGTGTGGACTTAAAGGGGAGCTGCAATCATACTTAAGCCTCTACCTCTTTTGCGGTTTCCACGTCTCTTTGGGTTCGGGTAAGCCAGCGGGCACGGAGAGAATAACTAAATATCAGTGAGTCATATTTTAACCGGACGACGCGGAAACCTCCTCCACCTACGAGGGCGACCCGCGTTGCCGAAAGCGCGGAATATGTGACGTCTTTGGTCCTGGGCTTACTACTGGTCAGAGCCGCTAAAAGCATTTTTTTTAGTCTATACAAAATATAAGTGTCGTGAACCGTTTCAATTATGTATGAAAGTAGTTTTTGTTCAGTATTTTAGATCAGAAAAGAAACAAATGCAGGTTATAAAGTACGGAAACAAGAAAAGACCCGACGACAAAAAACCCGCCACCAAGCGGTGAAAAAAACGGCGCATATACTAGAAAGGCGTAGTGGGATGAGGCTCCGACGAACAATGGGCTTAGAAAGCTCCCGGATGTACGCGGTGGCGCTGCGGTCGTATACCGGCTTGAGGATCCGACCGGTTCCGAGCGTTCCCAAGGCTTTCGGCGCGGGCTTGGCTGGCGATTTGACCCTTTGGCGGTATGGCAGCGCAAAGTGGCTCCCGTTCTGAACTGATCTTTACCCCGTGTTTGCCGTCGTTTGTGGCCAATGAAGTGTTATGCCGAATAGTCTTTAATCGCGCGGAAAATTCAATGCGAGCTGCCCTGGCCGCCCGCTTCATACAGCCTAGTCAACACGTGCATTAGTAGCACCCTCTCGAGCCGTCGACACTGAGTGCGGCAGCCGTGAGCGCTCGATGAGCTCACTACTTCACGGCCACTCAAACCAGGACCTACGACGTCATGAAGGATGTTATTTTTTGCTTGTTTTTGTAAGTCTAATTTGCCTATAACTTTTAAGATAGAGCAAAATTTGAGAAAAGAAAAGTTTCTTTAAATTACTACGTTCAATGCGCTCAGGTTCGGTCCAAATTAAAAACCAGTCAAAAAGTTATTGCAGGGCCACTTTAACGCTCTTAATGACGACAAACGAGCAAAAAACATGTCTTCAGCACGCTGCCGGCCAGCCTCTGCAACGCTCCAAAAGGTTAATTTTCCGTGTCCCAAGATGGTAGTCCGGCAGCCGCAATCACGGACCGGAGAAGCGCAATTTAGCAATAGTCGTAGAGATCAGTAAAAAAATATGGAACGCATACCCTCCTAGCATCCATCAGGTAGGGATAAGCATCCTGTGCAGTCTATATGCCCATCAATGTCAACGCATGTAGCCATCTGCAGGCAGTCGCATCCTTTCGAAGGTCAATCTGGCCTTCGTCAGGCACCAGCTTTCGCTCTCAGCACACAGCCACTGTTGGTGGGCTTCAGGGCTGCTCGCATCTTCACCCTCCACAGGCGGGGCAGCCCCGGTCTGTAAATGTAGAATATGAATATGGCAGGTATTATTTGATAACACTTTATGTTTTGGCCGTGTAAAGAAAATCTGCATTCCATTTTCTAACATATCTGTTATGAAATAACAAGGTCAGGTGGAACGGCTCGAGTTCGCTGACTGAAAGACAGAGGGCTTAGCCTGAACCAATATCCTAGCAGCCTTCGATATTGGTGGGGGGGGAGGGAAGGCTGAACCTCTAAAGATGGCTTCAAATGATTCTCTAATTGCTTAACTCCAAAGTTTCAGGCTGGTGCACTTCAACGTTCTGAACTTTTTGCAACATATATTTGCGCTGTCGCTAACCATGTTCCATTTGACAATTTTTTACACGCCCCTTCTCCTCCAATCAGAACAGCACGAGAGTCCGCCGTGAACAGACTTGGCATCATCGTGTGTCATATATCCCCGATGATTGCCTTGCCCACTAAGATGCATTAAAGCCAAGGCTCGAGCACAAGCTCATAGCATCGCTAGATGGTCGCACTGCACGAACCCTCGTGCAGCCTGAGTATCTACTAGTAGTGGTAAAAGCGAGTGAGTTGAAAATGAATACTTAAAATCGAAAGAATAAAGCGCGAGGGACAAGCACAGGACAACCACGTAAAGCCTGGTTCAAACAGTTGTGTTTGACCGCGTTGCGGCTGCGAGAAACCAGGACATCCCTGCTGCTTATATCGCGTGCCAAGATGATTCTTTGAATTGGAATCCACGCTTCATACGAAGCACAGATGTGCCGGTGACTCGTTTTCGGTTCTAAACGCAACGCAGACAAACACACTCAAACGCAAGTGTCAGAACCGACCTTTACGGTACAGGCCCACAGTAAAGCTGTGAGCCCGAACCGTCTCGCACGTCTAGCCTTCGCTTTAGTACATCTCAGGATGAGACGGAATGTATCATAATAGAACCGATGTGGTCTCACCATTCTGAGCAGAAGTGCGTGAGTAACCGATGCTATTTCCGTGGTCGCTTGCACGTAAACAACCAAGGAGCTTGTACACAACGCCGGCATTCATCTGGCTTGAAAACAACTTGAGCGTTGGCTTGGCTTGGATGTCAGCTGCCCATTGTGCTTACTTGAACTTCACGAAATCCTCTAAATTGAGCAGGCTGCTTCTTGACTTCTGCTGTCGGCGCGTATGTCTGCAATTCGGCGGTTTCCGAGTTCGACGATTCGGAAATCATGGGTGTACCACCGCAACACCCTCTTAACACGATTTCGGTAGCCGTAGGGTGTAAAAAGGATGTACGAAGGGTGTAGGCCTTTCCGTACACCCTTGAATATTCAAAAATCATGTAAAAATGGTGTAGGAAGGGTAAGAGCTCGGAAAAACACCCTTTTAACACGAACATGGGTGTTGAAATTTTTAGTGTGTACCCTGGCACTGGATGCAGAGTCGACTGTGGTGAAGTTGACACGTGCTGTTTCTTGTAAAAATGACATACTCAGTCATATGTTAGGAATATGTATTGTGTTTGAAGTGTTTCACGTGTCATGGTTTTCTTGCTATGCTTTGTATGATATATTCAATCTTACAGGGTTCGTTCCATCTGGAGATATCCCTGGAAACTGCCGTGACCAACGTCACGAGGAAACAACTGCCGAACTTCGTAACAAGCTTGAACTGGTCACCGCAAAAAATGCAGAGCTGTCACTGGAGCTTCGCAATCTGAAGGGTGTGATTTTATTTATTTCTTGTCTGAGGGTGAAAAACAAAATGCAGCCTTATAGATTTTTATGCAATTCACAGAGACATTAGAAACATTGTACATAATCTTTTTCTCATTAAATCTTGCAGAACTCATGGCAGCCAACATGTGTACACCAGAGTGTCATGGCATTGAACATGCAGTGGTCTGCTGTGAAGGTGTGTTGGCGTGCACTGTTTCTTTTTAGAGAAACATAGTAGGTGCACTTTGGGCGCATGGTAATGTGGTTGAAGTGTTCTAGATATCCTTGTCTTCTTTTCATGTCATGTAGAACACGGTCTTCTTTATATGCCATGTACAACACATCTTTTTTTTAGTGATTGATGGTTTAATCTGTCTCAATTAACACTTTTGCAGAGACAATGGACTTCAACTCATCTACTACTTCAGTCCGCTATGGCACTGAGCATACAGTAAGCTGCAGTGAAGGTGAGTTGACATGTGCCCTCTTTCTTTTTAGGGAAACATAGTAGGTATATTTTGGTCACATGAAATGAGATTGAAGTCTTCTGGATGTCGTTCTATTTCCATGCCGTGTAAAACACACTACGAGGTCACTGTTGTGCAGGAAAGCCCATTGACGGTGCTGTCTCGCACACTGCAGATGACCGGAGAGCAAGTAGGGACTTCAGCAACTCAGGTATGGGTCACGACACCGGCGTTCCTGGTGTCCGATAGGTAGCTAAAACACAGCACTTTTTTCCAAGCTGGCCTATTTTGATGGGTGACTGCTGGTTTAATTTTTCTTTAAAAAACATTTTGCAGAGCCGACGATCTCCGACTCATCAGTTCGTGACTGCCATGCTGCTGAGCACACAGTAAGCTGCAGTGAAGGTGAGTTGACGTGTGCCCTCTTCCTGTTTACGGAAACATAGTAGGTATACTTTGGCCACATGTAGTGAGATTGAAGTGTTCTGGATGTCATTCTATTTCCGCCGTGTAAAAGACACTACCAGGTCACTGTTGTGCAGGAAAGACCATGGACGGTGCTGTCTCGCACACTGCAGATAATCCGAGAGCAAGTAGGGACTTCAGCAACTGAGGTATGAGTCACGACACAGGCGTTCCTGGTGTCCAATAGCAAGAACAAAGCATTTTTTCCAAACTAGCCTTTTTTGACGGGCGACTGTTGGTTTAATTTTCTTAAATAACCTTTTGCAGAGCCGAGGATCACCGACTCAGCAATTCGTGACTACCATGGTGCTGAGCACACAGTAAGCTGCAGTGAAGGTGAGTTGATATGTGCCCTCTTTCTTTTTAGGGAAACATAGGACGTATACGTACCTTGGCCACATGAAAGGATATTGCAGTGTTCTGGATGTCGATCTACTCTCATGCCGTGTGAAACGCACTATTAGGTCACTGTAGTGCAGGAACGCCCGTCGACGGTGCTGTCTCACAGACTGCAGATGGCCCGCGAGCAAGTACGGACTTCAGCAAAACAGCTAGTGGTCACGACAGAGGCGTTCCTGGTGTCCAATAGCTAGAACACAGCATTTCTCCCGTGCTGACCTCTTTTGGTGAGCAACGATTGGTTTAAGCTGTGTTGGTTAACATTTTGTAGGGCTAATGATCTCCAACTCGGCTACTCCAGACTGCCATATCACTGAGCACACATTAGACTGCAACGAAGGTGAGTTGGGCTGCATGTTTTTTTTCCTTCTGGGAAACATAGACATTCTATAGACTTGTGTAATGCAGTTGATGTGTTCTGCATATTGTGTTCTTCAATGTTGCCTACAAAATATCTCTTATTTCACAGAGTTTGTAGCATCTACGAAGACTGGCACAATCTACCATGAACAATGTCATGAAGAAGCCACTGCTGCATTTCGCCGCAAGCTTTATCTGGCCAGCAAAAATTATCTCAAGCTTTCTCAAGATCTTCAGCATTTAAGATGTGATTTTACTGAGTTCACCTGTAACACTAAAAACAAAGCTGCTTATAAAGGTTAGTGTAATTGAGACAGTACCATTATTTTCATGTAACTTATTTTTTTTTCCTTTTCTTCAGATGACCGTAGACGACACTTGTCTGAAGATCAGGTTCTCTGCATGCAACGCCAAGACATGAGTGGCAATAGATGGTCTGACGAGACTATTAAGCGAGCCCTCTAACTTCGTCTTGCCTGTGGGCACAGGGGGTTTGCTTTCCTTCGGGAACATGTACTCCCACTGCCATCGGAGCGAACTCTTCAAAAAAAAAATTGAGGGAATGAAGTTTCAGCCAGGTATGAACGAATACTAAATTGTAACTATTTCAACACGTTCATTTCAGATTAGTGTTGCGCACCGCTTATCGCCAAAATAGTAAGCATAAAGATTTATTTTTAATCTCAGGGCTTCTGCGGGAACAACTTCCTGCAGTCGAGCGTAAGGTAGCAAGCATGGGTCTCCAAGAACGTCACTGCGTGCTGCTTATGGATGAAATGCAGCTGACACCAGGCCTTGAGTACGATGGAACAACAAAGATGGTGATAGGCCAAACGACTCTGCAAGGTTGCCACGCTGCAAACAGTGATGGTACCATGACTGGTGCTACCCGCGGGCTTGTTTTTATGCTTGCCGGACTTTGATCAAGGTGGAAGCAGATCATCGGCTACCATTTTGCAGGTAAATGTAGCAATTTGTTAAAATCAGTGGAAATTACTAGATTTTGTTATCTCTTTTTCTAACGTGATTTAGGTCCGGAGACTTATATTATTGATTTTTCATTGAGCAATATTGCCGCGCGCAGGGTCATGGACTTTAGAAGGTTCTCGTTTCCTCTTGCTCCGGACATAACTTCTATCATGTATTCCTGCTTTTGTTGTTCTAGAAAGTGCGTGTTCATTCTCGCCCCGAGCGCGCGACGCTCGAGCCTTCTTCGCCGAATCTTCGAGATAGTGACTCACTCTAGATAAGGGGCCGCCCGCGACCTTGTCGAGTCAGTCTCGCCTCAGCGCTTGATCCTGCGGTTTCGCCGACATCAACGCCCGCAACGCTCTGCTGTTTTCTTCTCTTTCCTTTTTGTTCTGGGCACAAGTTCGCCCCAATAAACGTTTAGTTTATTCAGTTATCATCGCCTCATAAATTGTCATTCGTTACATTCTGGTGGAGGTGCGGGTATCGCATTCTATGCCCGTGAAGCGTACCCCTCCGAAGACATCCCGGCCAAGTGAAGTGCTCAGCCCCGGAAGGCTACCCTTCTCAGAAAATGCCGACGCCCGAGCAAGCCTCCGTGCCAAAGTCCAACTTCCGGAATCCGGACCCTTGCTGCAGAAGCCGAAGAAGATCCCGACGATGACCACCCCGCCCGTCGTCGTCCTGCCCGTCGCTCCGCGGACGCCTACTCCCTTCCTCGGTGAGATCTACGAGGACGTTGAAGACTGGATCAACCAGTACGAACGTGTGGCTCGCCACAACGGGTGGAGTGACGAACAGCGCCTGCAGAACCTCTATTTCTCGCTTGAAGGAACTGCAAGGCGCTGGTTCGAAAACCGCGAAGCTTCCTTGACTTCATGGGAGCTTTGCAAGAAAGAGTTGACGCGTACATTCGTCAATCAACACCGAAGAGAGAGGGCCGAAGATCTGCTGCAGTCCAGGACCCAGGGCCCCAATGAGAGCGTCACGAGTTTCGTAGAAGACGTCCTGCGTCTGAGCTCCAGCGCTGACCCTCAGGCCACCGAGGAAAAGAAGCTGCGTATTCTGATGCGCGGCGTGAAGGGCGATATCTTCGGTGGACTCGTACGCCACCCACCGACGACCGTTCAAGAATTCGTCACCGAGGCGACGAACATGGAGCGTGCCATTCTTGAAAGGGCAACCCACTACTAGCGGCATCTCGGCGCAGCTGCACCCTCGCCATCGGGATTTGACCACGGCTCCAGCCTGACTGCAATTCGCGAGATAATTCGCGACGTCGGCCGAGAAGAGCCCAGGAAGCTCCTGCCTGCTGCCAACAAACCGGCTTCGCTGTCAATAACCGAAGCTGTCCGCGAAGAAGTTCAGCGGGCAATCCGACCGGAAGCTCCTGCCACCATAGCAGCACCAGAGAAGCCTGCTCTAAGCTACGCCGCAATGCTCCGACGAGCACCACCAACCCCGCGTCCGTACGTGGCGACTCCCCGACGTGAACCTCCAGCGCCGCACTATTCCCGACACCAGGAAGATCGGACGCACGTCCGCTCAGAACAAGTAGCGCCAAGAAAGACCGACCTGTGGCGAACGGCCGACCGACGCCCGCTCTGCTACCACTGCGGGGAAGCCAACCACACTATCCTGGATGCCCGTACCGCCGACTTGGGCTGCGTGGGTTCCACCCGAACGACCCGCGCCCGAGGTACGGTGAACGCCCTCACGACATTGACGAGTACCTTCGACGTTCGCCATCCTCAGCATCGCCTCTCCGCCGTGAATCCCGCTCACCGTCGCCCAGACGTTCAGCGCCTCTAGCGCGTCGACCCCGCCGAGAGAGCCTGTCTCCCCTGCCCCGCCGGGCAAACTAAGTGCGACAACGCCTGGAGGTGGCGTTGCCGAAGACGATCGAAGAGCCTCCAAGAACGACGGAGCGGTCCCACTCCCCCGACGCTGCGTATTGCAACGACGCTCCCGCTTCGGTGTCCAACAACCTAAACGTTATCATCGACGGCCACGACGCATCAGCACTCGTAGACACCGGAGCAGACTACTCAGTCTTGAGTGGGAAGCTCTCTCGCCGCCTGCGAAATGTGAGAACGCCGTAAGAGGGCCCTCAAATACGAACCGCCGGCGGGCACCTCATCACACCTGGCGGCAGGTGCACTGATTGCGTTGAGATTCACGGTGAAACCTGCGCTGTGAAGTTCGTCGTTCTGCAAGACTGTTCGAGGGACGTCATTCTCGGAATGGAATTCTTGTGTGAATACGGCGCCATCATCGACCTCGTGGAGAACAAGCTGACGCTTCGGAAGCCTGTCCCATCGGCGGAAAATACCAAAGCGACGTTAGCTGCAGTGCGAGTCCTTGCCAGCCACGTAAACCTGCCGCCGCTGTCGAGTGTCTTTGTGCCGGTCGGGACCGAAGAAGCCATCTGCGGTGTAGCAGTGTTGGAAGGAAGCGTCCTACTTCTCGTTGGACAAGGGATTGGCATTGCAAGAGGCGTAACCGAGCTCCAGGACGGGAGTACCGTAGCCCTTGTCACCAACTTCTGGTAAGAGTCGCAGCACCTTACTAAGGGTACAGCTCTGGATTACGTCGAGGAAATTCAGGACACAGCCGCGATCGCTGTGATCTCAGAAGACGCCTCTCCGACGCAGCACAAGAGAATCTCGCCATCAGAGCTCGACATCGACCCGTCCCTCCCAGCCCCACAACGATGACTACTCAATGACCTTCTCGCCGAGTTCAGTGAGTGCTTCTCCACGTCGTCGAAGGTGCGCCAAACGACTGTCAAAGCGAGCAGGTCTCCTTCAGCCGATTACCCCGCCAACCAAGCCCTTCCAGAAAATCGGAATGGATTTGCTGGGTCCTTTTCCACCATCGACGATGGGGAACCGCTGGATAATCGTCGCAACAGATTATCTTACTCGTTACGCCGAGGCGAAAGCCCTTCCGTCGGGGACTGCTGTCGAAGTCACCAAGTTCTTCATTGAGTCAATCGTCCTCCGGCATAGCG